TATATGCAAAATTGACAAATACACAAAAAGATATTAGGTTTTATTTTAGCCTTAGAAATATTTTCTTTCACTCAGTCCATGCGTGGGACTTCTATTTAGCTTCATGGTCCTTCAGCTTGTGTTCTCCTTGGGGAAAATAACAATAATTATACAAATCGTAAACTCAACACAGTCAGGAAAAGAAACCCGGACAACCATGTCGTACTTCTGTTGAAATACATTTTGTAGCAGTGCGTCACGTCAGAATATTGTCTAAAATAAAATATTCAATCCCAGCCAAATCTAGGTCAAAGGGTCAAATTGCGTGCATATAATTATAGATAGTTAAAACAAAGTATTTGAACTTTTGACGGTTGTTCAACATCTATGCACGGTTACTAAACTAGTAACCGTGATCCATGAAAACCAGAAAATTTTTAGTAGTACGAATTTTTGCACAGTCGAAAATAAAGCGGAAATTCAACAAGCGATCGCAAAAGCGAACGATTGAAAAGCGGAAGCGGGCGAGCGGTTGGGCGAAATGAGTTCTGTACTTCTTTGTTTGATGAAGCGATGCTGATGCCACATTGTCTCCATAATGAGGCCACAATGAAGCGAAGCTATAACCGCCTAACTTATTAATGTCGCGACATTGATGCGATGCTGAAGCCATAACAATGCCGTAATGATGCGATGCTGAAGCGAAGGTGAAGCTGAAGTGAAGCTGAAGTGAAGCCAAAGCTTCCGCGAGAACTGTACTGTACCTGAAGAAGTGTTTTGAAATAAGACAGCAACCCCAGTGACAACCTTCTCTCACTATTTGAGTTTTGCATTTTGTCTTCTATCTATCGTAGTATCATAATTTTATACTTGCTATTATCTGTAATGTATTAGCTTAGATTGTTTTTTTTTGTTTTGTTTTTTTATCTATTTACTGTTTTGTAACCTTTGTAACCATTGCCAATCCCTCCGGGGAATGTGTAAGTGTTAATAAAATTATTATTATAATTATTATGATACCAAATAATGTTAGTGGTACCATATGAATGAGTTGAAATGAAATGCTTATGCAATGCATGTGCACCAAGACAGCTGGATTCTGTTATGAATAAACATCCTGCTATGTCGTAATTACTCATTATTATACATTTATCACAGTAATGCCATAAGTTACAGCGTGCCATAATTTTGCGTTATTTTACAGGGTAATTTCATCCTACCATTTAAGGAAATGGGAATTCCAAATATGGAATGAATTAAGCGCATAAGCGTTTTCTAATAATAAAAACAAGCATGGCTGCCACCAGGGTTTGACTGGGCTCCACACAAAGAAGTTTGCTGATTCTGTTGTAAAGTTTTTGGATTTCGGCATTCCCATGATGTATTCTTGGAAGGAAAAAATGTATAATAGTAAGGTTATTAGGAGCATACCTCGAAGTATGTACCCGGACAGTACACTTTTGCATCGACCTCTGCTGCACGTCAGAAAATGCTCTAGCTGTACTGTCTTCGTGCATACTTTGAGGTATCCTCGTTATAACCTCATAGTAATACATGGATGTGTCATATTTTAAGTACACCCACTGTAGTCCACTAACATTATTTTGAACACTGAAAGTAATGCATAATTATATTCTTAACCTATTGTGTAGATGAAGAAGATAAAGAAGAGGAAGGTCAGACTCCTGCAGCACAACCAGATGAATATCAAGATGTGTTAGCACAATTTGAAGATGGTCAGGCTCATTCAGAAACAATCACTGCAGATACACCTGAAACTGAATCCATATTGATTGAGTCAGGTTAGTTAATATTTTCATTGATGCCATGAACTATATGAAATGCAATTACAGACTATTTGGATTTTGCAGTTATAATATGGCAAAAAACGAAATTTATCAAGTGTTTTAATGTACAAACTGGATGAAACTATTGTTTGTATAAAATTTGGGAAGCCAAAAACAATCAGTAGTAATATATTGAATAAATCAGTTGGATTGAAGGTATCAAAACTCTTTCAATACTTCAGATGGGACATTCATACAAATTTTATTAGCAAAATACGCAACCTAAGTGCTTGGTTCGTTTTTGAATTACCTTACCATTGATATTGTTTAGGAACCAATTTGACTGATTGCTATTAGTTAAACAGCTAAATTGTGATTTAGGTGTGTTAAAATCTTTGGAAGGCACAGCAGCACTATAAACATTTAGAACTGATTTATTTAATTATTTTATGTGGTACACATGTAGCTGATTTATTTAATTATTTTATTAATAGTCTTATTGTAAGAGTAATATTACACTTAGCATGCTGCATTGCATTATATTACAACTCTGTTACTTGCTCTAATCAATGTTTTGACAAATGGTCTCATTATTATTTCCATCATAATCAATGTCAAGTCAGGTTTATGGTATCAAACTGTAAAAACAATAGATTTATATTTACAGCTGAACAAGCAGTCAACTTACATACAATGTACATGTATGAGCAAGACATTTACTTTATTTCAAAGGGAAATTTAATTTTTATTCTACCAAAACAATATTTTCTGTTCAGAAAACACTTCACTCTAAAATGTTCAGTTTGTGAAAATGTTGGCATTGAAAAGTTATCTTAAAAAACCTTGACCTAAAATATCAGTAATTATGGTTCATTGGTGGTATTGCAGATCACCAATAGTGTGTTTTGTTGCATTATAAATTTATGTTTAGTATTTCGTTCGTTCGTTCCTTGTAGTTTACAAGAAGTACTGAAAATACCTCTTTGAACCTATGGGACAAGTGACTTTATCAATAACATTACTTGAAACGTGTCTCTTATCTGTTAAATCGTGGTCAAAACATAAAATAATCTGTGAAGAAGTCTGAAAAAAACTAGGAATAGGGCAATAACTGATCATAGCCAATTATAGGAATCCCCTTGGTATGGTAATAGTTGCACAGGATTATCAGCCGCATGCCACTGACCAAAATTTGAAAGTGCTCAACTTTTTTTTTCTACTTCATGTAAGCTACAGTACTCATTTCGCCCAATCTCCCGCCCGCTTCCGGATTTCGATCGCTTTTTTTTGCTCGCTTTGTTCAATTCGACCGCGCAATTTCCGCTTTTTTTTCGACCGCGCAAATCCGGAAGTATCCGCTCGCACAATCGCTCGCTCGCTCGCCTGACAGCGCAACCGCCCGCATTTACAGTTCATTACCTACTGTTTCATGTACAAGTGTGTCATTTTTGTTTTTATGATGTTAAAATAAGAATAAATGCAATCAAAAATTTATAGAACGACCGTTGAAAAAATACGGTGGATCACATGGCCATATAAAATTGGTATTAATACATACGCGTAGTAATAATGTCCACCATAAACAAGATCGAACCAAACATGTGAAATCAAATACGACACTGACATAGACACAACTAATATGAAATAAAACCATTCAATTTTTGGTGGAGAGCGAAAAATGTCTACTGTAGAGTACGGTATTCATTGAGTAACCGTGTGTAGGGTGACGGTTGTCATGCAGGCATGGTTTGGGTTTAACACGGGTCAAGTTGTAGTTATGTAAATCTATGGCACCTATAACAATTGAAGAATATCTGCAGGAATAGTAAGACTGTGAAAAAAACGACCAATCGATTGTTATAGAATGACAGTACTGTACAATTTGTGAAACAAATACAATACTTGCAATACTTGTCCGAAGTTGTCGAAGCCGACATCAATGGAGATCGCGTTTTTTAACTAGGCGGCTGGCAAGCGGACTAACACGTTACATAAACTTGTTGAATTACAATTATGGTTTTTGACTCCCATGTGCGAAGCACAAAATGGGAGTCTTTGCAGTTAGTGTGTCTGTATGTGTGTGTGTGTGTATGTGTGTATGTGTGTCCGACTGTTCCACTGCTATCTCAAGAACCATACATCGGTTTTTGATGAAACTTGGTGCATAGATGCTCTGGGCCAATGCGCAGATTTGATTAGGTTTTGGTAAAAATCCATGCTCGTTAATTACCTAATTTGCATGATAATTAGCTAATTTTTAGCTGTTCTATGACTGTTCCACTGATATCTAAAGAACCACTCATTTGATTTTGATGAAACTTGATGCATAGATGCTCTGAACTAATGCTAGGTTTTGATTAGGTTTTGGTTAAAATCCATGCATATTAATTACCTAATTTGCATGATAATTAGCTATTTTTTAGTGGTTCCATGACTGTTCCACTGATATCTAAACAACGCCTCATTGGATTTTGATGAAACTTGGTACATAGATTTTCTGAACTAATGCTA